GATCAAGATCAAGATCATATATTCGAGATTCTTGAAAATCCGAGATCAATATAAATATTTCAAGATTTTTCGAGATTGAGATCGAGATCGCAGAAATCTCGTCTTGTCTCGTCTCGTGCGCATCTCTATCAACGAGTATTTCTCTATTGAACGCATCGTGACTCGGGTGAATCAAAAAGGAAAATGCTGCTTCGTTGACGCAATTTCGTATCCCGGACGAGAGGGAGAGAGTACTGTGAGATTGTCGGAGCAAAGAAGATTGTCGAAAAATGTTTCTATCGCGAACGACATGTAAGTCGGAATGATAATGTGAATGTAAATGATTTATATCTGCGTGTCGTATGTTGTAGATAATAATCTTAATCCGAAATCTGTAACATTCGCGTTTCCTGCCAGGTTCCACATGCGTTAGAAAAAGTGTCGACGATCGAGAAAAAATTTTCATCATTGTTAACGGAATATTTTTACCCCGTTTATTCCTACTAATGTATTCTTACTATTTGTACGATTTATTATTACTTTTATTATACTGGTTTTCCTATTATCATTACTATATTTTTAGTATTGCTATATTATTTTTCAAGGTATTGCTACAATTATTACATTTACGCTATGTAGTTACTAATACGCCGCCATTATTGTCGTCATTACTGTAATTATTTATGAAAAAAAGAGATATTTTGCCTTGTAATTAACGTCTCAATTTTCAGGTGGTTCAAATATAAATTCTTGGCCGCGATTATATAATTTGTATGTACAATGCATTAACATACTGGCGCTGTAAATATTATACATATTTTATAAATGAAATATTTAGTGTGATTGTAATATTACAATAATGTACTGAAAAAGCACCACTCTGTACACTCCACTAAATATATGGGTTAAATTTTAATAAATATTTCCCGATCCCAAATCTGATCCGTTTTTACCACCTGTTTTTTTTTCAGATATATTTATTATTGTTATTGGGATTGGTAAGTAATGCGCAATGTTTTGTTTAAAAGGATGTGTATATATATTTTTTTTGTTAAGAAAATAGCTGCAATACACGGATTTTTCACAATCGTATTTCAATAATCCACAAATTTTTTAGTAAAAATATAACGAACTCTTGTGAACATCATTGTATTTTGTATAATTTAAAATATTAAAATTATATAATTTCTTAAGTTTTCTCTTCTTTGGTCTCTTTCTTTAGTTTCGACAGTGCAGTCTCGCCGTACTTCGCCACCAGCTCGTTGACAAATTCATCTTTCAGCTTTTTAAGACATCTGTAAAATAAATAAAATACAACTTCAAGAAAATCGTCGTTCGACAAACACACCTAGCCGCTTCATTGTAACGCAACGAAATTCTAACGAATTTTTTTTTTTTAATATAAAAGACATGTGTACTATATACCTTCTATAAACAGAATTTGTTCGAAATTTTCCGATGTCTAAACTCGGAGCGTGAGGGCGATGAATAATAAAGGTATCTGGTAAAACCATGTATCTGCAATTTCAGTTTTCGGTTTCAATCGTGCGCTACGTTAATCAGATTCCGGCAGGATATTTCATTATTCAAATGAATAAAATTACTGCGGCTTACTTATAATCTAGCGCCGTTAAATGGGTCACGTAGGAAACTTTATTCCAACCAAATCCGACAAATCGGGTGTCGTATCGCGGAGCGGATCTCGAAACTACTATGTAAGGCTCGAAATCCGGCTCCCATGAAACCTACAACGGTTCATTTGTTATGCATTCATCGGTTCTCTTACATGCGTCTATTAATTTATCTCAAACGATCTTTAACAATGTGTTTAATAATATATAGGATATCCCCCAAATCTCGAGGGTGTCACCGGCAGTTCTAATTACGGATCTCCCACGCACTTGGTAAGGCTCCGTACTGTTTCGCCAAAGGCTGTAATTCGTGGCAGCGTGTCCCTGTGTCCAGACATGATAACGAAACGTGTACAGAATACCGCGTTTAAGAAACTTCAGCAGTTCCTCTTTGTTGGCGGGGAACGTGAACCTGTAAGAGGCGATTTTATTTGATAAAACATAATCCATCGTCGACATTGCGACAACGGGGGATTACCTATAGCGTTCAGTTTCGAATGCTGGCACGATCAGAGCTACTTTGTCCGACTCGTTGATATTTAATCGGTTGATATAATTCATGATATTTTCATACAGTCCAAATTGCGGCAAAAAGTCGACGTCAAGTTGAAAAACGAATGGAGTTGGTACGTATGATATCGCAGTGTTTCTTAAATAATTGATAGGGTAAAGATCCTGAATAAAAAATAATAAGTCAGTTAAAAAGAAAAGTCAATTATTAAATCTTCGTTTAGAAATAATGGAGCGTAATATGAATTATATAATTTTATATCTAATGGCACATCACATAAAAGTGTAATTTTACGAAGTGTGATATATGTTTAATTCTTCAAATTCTGAAAATTATATAATTTTCGTCCGTTCCATTCTAGATTAAAAATTCGCTGTCGGTTTTTTTTTTTAACAAGCGCAACGCAAGGACAACGCACCCCGTCTTTGTACACGACGTGATAAGCGATGTTCCTTCTCGTCCGCAAATCCGCGGAGCCTCGCACGAAATCCAGGAAATTCTGAACCTCCGCGTCGGTCAAGTAAAGCGCGACGCTTATGGTCCCCGGCCAGTGTTTCGATAACGCTTCCAACAGCGGTATCCTCTCGACGCTACACTGAGTGACTAGAGCAACATCCGTCGGCGAATGCACGTTGTACTCGTATTCGAGCAGGAAGGGATGCGTGCGATACAAAATGGTAGCGCCTTTCTCGAATTCTCGACACGGGCTCAATTCGTTGTACTAAAAGAAAAAAAAATATATTGCGCGTGCGACGAGAGAGTCGTCACAGTCGCATTAGATAAGATACTAAAGGATTTCTATAGAGGCTCTCTCTTAACTCACTGGAAGCGCGCTCTCGTGCTTGTCACAGCCGAACAAGCGCTTTCGCAACAGATTGCCGTCCATCTCGAGGAAGACGCGGTGCAGTTTTCGAAACTCGTTAACGTGCTTATTGTGAACGTCTTGCTTTCGCGGGGAATTCCAATGGAGGATCTAAAAGTAAAACGAACAAGTCGATCGATTTCGCGCCGCCTATGTAGCAGAATCGAAGTCACAATGGAACGGGACGTACGTTTATGCGATTCGTGTCGCGATAGCACGTGTCACTTATCGTGTGATCGCTCAGCTGTATGTTCCAGGTACACTCTATCTCGTACACGATACCCGGCCGCTCGCTGATCACCGCGTTTATCACGTCCTGATCGGCCAGACTGGTCTCTGGTATGTGCCCCAGCACGCGTTTCGTCACGCTCTCCCAGGACCTCGCGAACCCTCCGTCCCGCAAACGTCGCAGGTGCATCAGCATCACGCCGGTGTTGAAACCGCGGCCCAGAGCCGGCCACGGCCGCTGGCCGTACGACAGCGCCTTCACGTACCAGTTGCTCTGATTCTCGACCAGGCCCAGACTCTGGCCGGCCGAGAATCTCTCGAACATCCTCCACAGCGGCTGCATGTCCGTCAGAACGGTCACGTCCGTGTCCAGTACGAGCACCCGGTCCTCCCGCATCGCGTCCGGCAGTATCAACTTCAGGAGACCGTACACCCCGGAATAGTGCTTGTTCGGTATCCACGAGACCCTCGGCACCCAAATCTCAGCCTCGTAGAACGTTACGTTTACTAAAAATGTATAATAATCCCTTCGAGCGATCAGAGGCGAAAAATAGTCTCTCGCGCGATTTTACTCTTGACACGCATCTACCCGATACTACTGTGTAAAAGGTACTCCATATTGTATGTAAAAAGGGAATATTTTTTATATTTTTTCCCTTGGAAGTCTCAATTTTAATAAAACTTCGCGTACGCACTATATTGGAAAATTTAACAAATTCAATTAAATGCATTTTATATTTACGGCGGAAAAGTAATTTCCCCCTCCATCTCTTTCTCTATTATTTTTTTTTGTTCTATACATTGTACTTTGCGCGCCATGTTAACACGGACGTGGATAAAAATTAGGTTTCTCTGCGCGCTCCCGTGTGCGTCACAAAGGGGTAGTGCGTGCCCTGCCGTAAAAGCGTACAAACCATGTGGCAAATCCCACGTTCGGAACAGCGTCGAAAGCGTTTTCCTCGCAATTTCGTCGACGAGCAAATGAAAATGCAACGGATTCGTGCGATAAAACAGAATGGACTTCGCTACGGTTACGACGGCGAAGGTTGAGTTGTATCCGGCGCACACCATGGCTACGTGTATCGTGTCGCATTTCACCTTGAAAATGTAGATACATGACTCGCCGGGGGGGAAGGGGGATGCAACGGCGCGGTCGCCTGATGAAAAGTATAAGGTTTACGGGCGTTTACCTCGAAATTGTTTTTTAACTGCGACTGTTCGGGAGAGCGATCCTCCGTCCGCAAATTCGATCTCTCCACCGCCTGCACTGATAACGATCGCCACTTGCCTCCGCCGATGCTCGATTTGCCTATAACCTCCGCGGAGGGGACTGGAAAAGAGTGGAAACAAACGTTCGTCTTTCTCTCTCTAATGCCTCTCGGTGCTAAAGAGAAATCGATGTAACGACGTCGCAATTACCGTTCAACAGCAGGTACAAATAAAAGACCACGGACGGTACTAAGACGCCGAGCAGACAGCCTAGCCATGATCGAGCCATTGTAATGTGCCGTACATGTTTCCCAATTCGCGATATGATGTCGCGAATAAATTAGGCTAGAGGCACGTTGGAATCTACTGGAAAGAGAGGATAATTAATTCGAGACACGCGCGGCCAGCGTTCCTCCGCTTCGTCTCCGTGCTTTAACCCTTCTGTAAATGCACGAATACCCTGGGTACACTCATTTTCAGTTAAAAACGTTAGAAACTTTTAATTTTTTGTGCGAATTATGATGCGCACAAATCCCCTCCGCTCTTCGAACAACGAGGAATTTGCGCAGACTTTCTATTTTTTTTTACAGCTGAATTAATTGCACGCTCTATGTACTTAAAGTGAAATAAGTACGTATTTAATATTTGGCGTAAGTGAAAAAGAAAGTTCTAGAAGTACAGTAATAAAAAAAAACAAATCTAGAATCTTTTTACATTTTTAGCGGGAACCTCGTAGCGAAAAGAGTGAAAAATTATGCATTGACAGAAGGGCTTAAAAGTCGGAAAACTCGATGTAACTCCATGCCTTGCAATTTGCCGAGAAACATTATCTTTGATGCCTGATAAGGAAAGACCCGAGTCAAGTTTCGTCTAATTGCAGACGAGTTCGAACATGCGCCAAGCGAACCGGGCGAGGCAACGCGGCGGCCAGTTTTGCAAAAGTAACACGCTGTCATTACGGTTAATTTGATTAGCGTTTAATAATATCTTGGTATGACGGGGGAGGGGGAGGGGGCATTATTAATAGGACGCGTACGCTCTTCTTCGTTCGTCCCGTTCGATCGATACCTACTGATGCGTGATGAAAGTCAATAGATCATGTTTAACATGCGGGTTTATGAATGCGTTATATCCAATTTCCTCACGTTTATACATAGATAACAACAACTACACGAACGCGACGCAATCATAATGCATGCAAATTAGCGCCATAAATGAAAATGTTGTATTCCTTGCGCAGAAATTCGGGATATAATTATGCCGCGAATGCGAATTCGCGCATCGGCATTTGGCGCACGTTAACAGGTAGACATTAATATCAAACTCCCCCAATAAATAAACGAAACCTGATATATTAACTTTCTACTGCCCGATTAAACTTCCGAGCGGCTGGTTTTAATAACGTTCCCTTTTTTTTACAAATGCCTTTTTGTTTCTCTATACCGAGATGCGGCTTTAAAATACAAGAGAACTTATTTCCGGAAATTTATAAATTATAAGTTAAACATTAAATATATATATATATGTATACATATAATTATAATTAAATATTAAATTTATAATTCATAAGTTATATGTATTCTCATTTAACTTATTAAATTTTAAATTTTCGTTTCAAAATTACCATTTATAAATAATTAATGTTTTAATATTTAATTTTTAAATTATTAACATTCAACTAAATTTATTTTTTTTATACTGAACGTCGTTAATATTGTGCATAAACGAATAAAAGTGCTCAACGAATAAACGGAGCAAAAAAAACAGATTAAATCGTTATTCATATTGAGAGAGAAACATAATGGAGAGTAATATTAATTTATTAATTCATTAGGCGTTTGTGCAATTCCGATAAAATAGACGTGCCACGCAATATAATATACTGCATGTAATTAAAAATTAATTTAAAAAAAGGTTACAAATCAGTTTTGTGCGCGATTTAACGCTAAGACTGAGTAAATACGTAAGGACGCTCCTTTTTGGACCATCCTGTAACCACCTTCCGGTGCTGCCGATCGCGCACATGCGACCCAGTTTACATTCACGGACAGTGACGTGCTTGTAACGTACACCCGCTCATTCGGTGACAAAAAAACGACCGGAATTTCAGCGCATCTTTTTATTCCACATGCCAAGCGTCGAGTACCATTCGCAGTTACATCGTAGCGAACTGTATGATTCAATGAACAAAATCGATTATTTATGAAAGCCGACGAGGAGCTTCGTATTTTCGTCCAGTCTTTTTCCCTTCTTTTTTTTCAGTCATTTTTCCCGTGCAGAAAGAAGTAACAGAAAGTGCTGACAAATTATTCAAGAATTTGAATGAAACAAGAAGCGACGAGCTGCAGCAACAGTCTCTTTTAGCTTCTCCCACCCGATTTTATATACCCGACGTTCGCGTTCATCTAATCTTTCCGAAGAGCCAATTCGGGCGTGACTGAAATTTCGCAAGTAAAAATAAACGTCCACACAGTAACGTGCAATGTGTCCCGTTGCGGTCCCCGCTGGAGCCGCTGTCAGAGTCCGCAGGCTATGACTCTAACACGACACAGTATGCGCGGGCGATAATGACATGTGATTGCCACAATACGTACCCAGCGCCGGCTCGACTGTCGCCTCTCCCGTACCGTGCATCCGGTGCGGTGCGGTCCTCGGGACAGAGGCGGAAGTGCTGCAGCCGCGATTTCTCTCCGCGGAGCGAGAGACACGCTGGGTGCGTGCGTGCGTGCGCGCGCGCGCGCGACGCGAACGTCGCCGTGCGGCGCTCTTTCTCTCTTTCTCTTTCCCTCTCTCGACACGACGTGTCCCGTTGTTATTGTCGCCGGCGACGACGTAAATTGCCGCAATTAGTCCCGTCGCGCGCGACGATAACGCGATAGCACACTCCCACCGGGCCGGGCGGAGGAAAAAAAACGCGGAGAGCCGCTCTCCGCGATCAACAGAACGACGCAGCGTCGCCACGGAGTAACGTGCCGCAACTACCGCGCCGCGCGACCGAAGCTCCACGGCTCTCGCTCGCGCTGTCGCGAGGACGCTGCACCGTGCCGTCGGCAAACGAGCGGGTGTCACGAGACCCGTTCTCGTCGCAAGATGGCAGCTGTGTCTCCGTCACGTGCGGTCACGTGCGGCGACGCTGCGCCGCGCGCGGCTCCGATTTTGTCATATATGTATTATGTAGATGCAACATGTATTATGGGCATCACATTACTATTTGTTATTATACGTATTGTATTTATGCGTTATACAGGGTGTAACGAAAACGTTTGGCAAAACTTTAGGAATATGTTCCTGATCGTGAAGAGAAAAGAAAAGAATTTTTTATGTTTAAATATCCCAAATCGGGAACAGATATTGTATTGAGAGTGTCTGTTACAAATTTTGTTGATAGAACGCCAGTAGGAATATTATAACAGAATATAATGACAGATTGATTGCAGAAACTGAGTGGAATCTACCGTTCTGTAATCATTTTAAATGATATATTTCATTTAAATGTCTACGAAATGACAGACCCTATATTCGATTTCCATCGACAATTTGCTGTCAGATTACATCGACCGGCAAAATACGAGTTTAATGTGCGAACATATTAGATATGATATAAATATACCAGATCTATTGCAAAATATCTGCTGCGAATTTATCGTATTACAGGCAATTTGCTTGCTGATTCAAAAAATATGTTTCTGAAATATTAGCGCTTATATTATCTTTTCATATAATGTACGCAACTCTTCGCGATATTTTAAATTAATTACCGCTATATAATTAAGCCCTTTACCATCGCAAATTCAGTTTGGTCTAGTCAAAAGCTTTGTGCTAATTTGAACGGTCGGGATAAACAATTTATTTTCAACATGCTACGGTTAGTAACAAAAATCGGAAATTGACGGTATTTCGATAGGGCGAGTAGTGCGACTCTTATAGAGTGTTTTGATGCCAAATTCATGCCAGCAACAAATTCTGTTGGTGTAGCTATTCGAACACGACGGTGCAGTGCTGAGTATATATGTTATATTTTGAAAATATTTTAGCGCTGCCTTAGAGCAATAAAAAAAATCAACAAAGTCTTTGATTTTTTTATGGACCACTCTGTATATTTTTTTTCGATATGGGAGGTTCAGCCATTAAGCTGGACCCTTTCATATGTTCTAAACGAGATTTCCTACTAAATGGTTTGAGCAACAAAATTCGGACTAGGTAACAAATTAGCACATAAATAGCTAAATTTTTGGCTAGGCCCAAACTTAATTTGCGACGGAGAGTTCAACTTGATAGGGATAAATTAAATGTACAAAATGTCCACCTTCACTCCCGAGACAAGCCTTCGCGCGCCGTTTCAGCAACTCCCGAATACGAGTAAATATTCACGGTATGTTGCGAATTGTCTCACAAGATGCCACAAGCCAGAGTGTTAAAAGTTATCCAAATAGTCAACTACATTGTTTTCGAAATAAGATCTGAATCTCTACCCTGCAGTCTGTGAAAGTCTGTGTGAAAATACATGTAAAGTCCTAATAAAAAATCATCAATAATACCGACCCAAATATTGAGAATGGAGAACTGTCCATAAACTGCAGACAATAAACTCTAATATCTCAAAAACTAAGTATTTTTAGACTCATGTTAACTACATAATAAATTTTTGTTTTTTAAGCATGAGAAACACTTCTGTTTTTTGTCCGACATTTTTATTACACCCAATATAGATTCCGTTTCTCTTCGCGGATAAATCCGTAAATCCCGCCTGTAGGAAGAGTGCAGCGGATGCGATGGAATATCGTCCGCCACTTGGGGAGTTCGAAAAAAAAAGATTCTTTTTATTTTAATATATATTCATAACTTTGAAGATTGATTAGCTTGGAAAAAAAGAGAAAGTGTTGTCTTCCGTCGTGCAAATTTATAATGCAGGCGACAGTAGATTTATAAAAAAAAAATGAAGAAAAAAGCTACGAGAGACTCACGTCGCCGCCTTAGACCTAGTCTTTCGTAAATATGTACTTAAATAAATTTAGCTATGACGCAATGCCCCCGGTGGGTGGCATTTGGTGGGATTACAAAGTAAATAATGGGAAATGAGATACATGAGTAGCGTACAAAAGTTCTACGTTCTAAGAAAAAATTTTATATATAAAATCTCTTCGCTAATTGATCTCCGTGGCTTTGCTCGGACTGTAGGGGATGGACTCCTCGTCCTCGCCGATCTTCCGCAACCGCTGCAGTTCCGCCTGCCGCGTCCTGAAATACAGTGATTACGTAGCGATTTAGTCACGATATGTGCGAGATCCACTTCAGTATTAGCGCGACGAAGTGAGTTCGATACCTCTCCTCATGTTCTCGGTTTTCCTTAGAACAACGGCTCTTGAGAACTCGATATCCGACGCAGATGACTATCAACACAATGGGGATCAGGCAAGCGAGCACTATGCCGGTGGTAATACCCGCTTGACGAGAGCTATATTCCTGCTGACCTGCGGTGTGCATAACGAAGCACGTCGTATGTACATTATACCGTACGAATGTATAAAAAAAGAGTAATCGAAAATTCAAATCTGAATGGAAATGATTTACATTTCGTGCTTGCCATCGATAGAAAGAACGTGGAGTTTCATGGCGAGCCATAGGGTACGATAACGTTATATCTTTAGAATAACGTTTTATTTTTTTGACATAATTGTATAGTAAAGGGGATATTTTATGTAGATTTTTATTATTTTAAGTAGATGTAACTGATAGTGTAATAGAAGAGAAATATTATTTTTAGAACGAAAAACACGAAAATAATTAAATCAATTAGCATGCTATCGTATGCTTAATTTAAACAATCTCTTTTTATTATTATCAAAATTAGATATATTATGGATAATCTTATTAGATGATAACATCTAAAAGTATCCGATATATATCTAAAAATATATATTGAGTGATTTTAGATATACCATCAAAAAAATAATACATCTAAAATTATTCAAATCAGCTCACTGCGCAATCTCGTGAAATATTCCGCGCCAGAATAGCAAAATAACATATAAATTTCTAATTGTATAATCAATTCTAATCCCGCATTAATATATTATATTAATATAATATTGTATATTATTAAGTGAATTTTTCACAATAATATATTAAATGAAATGTTTAAACAAGAGAAGGAGAGGAGAAAGGACGATTGAGACAGGAAAAATTGACAATTCTAGTGGAAATTTCCATTCCATTCTAATGCTGTTCTAAAGTTGCATCATATGATATGAATCATCCTTTTTTGTTATCTCAAACATTCTGTGCATGCATGTGGAATAGAAATTTCCCGTCATCTTGTTTAGTGTATAAAATTTTATTAAGACTTTTTTTACAATACGTGAACACAAGTATGTGATGTGATTAAATTGCCATAATACACTTACATCGGTTTATGTAATCGCAACGATAATATTTGTACATATATAAGTACTATCGTTGCAATTATATAAACCGATGGTACAATTAAATAGTTGCTATTGCATTTAACCTTGCTTAGAGCCACGTAATGTTTGATCTATTATATTAATTAATAGGTTATCATTATATATTATATATACATATAAATGAGATAATATGTATACTCTGAATACAATTAATACTGTAACTATTTCTATTCCACAGCAAGAACATATATATAGTATCTCTATTATCTACACAAAACACACTAAAACGGCACCGAACGGGAATGATAATGGAGTTTAGAATATCATGTACAGCCTCTTAACAAAAGAAAATTATCAGCAGCTGCTGTTTTCACGCTAGATTTTAATCAGGTCGCGTGTCAAATTAATTTTGTGATCGAGATTTTATTAATTTTACGTGTGCGCAAGATGTATTAATTGAAACTGGAATCAAGGTATATTGTCATGGTCATACACACACATATTATATATACTGACTCAAAATGATGCGTGTGCAAATTAAGTAATTTCGCTTGAGAATATCGTTTCTATGCACTACTGAGAGATGAATATCATAATCTAAACGTCGCTCTCTTTTGAAGGGCTGCCTGCTTTTCTAATCGAGTCCGTGCCCGAATCCGACCCCGTGGGCGAGAATGTGGGGTCCTTCAGATCCCATTCTTTATCCTCGAAGTCAATGTCCGGCCTATTGGGTAGGGGTTCGTGGGTGCGGTACACTCGGTCGTAAGTACGGCGCTTCCTAGTGCCGCTATTAGTTTCAATTGTGCTAGTGTCGCTAATTGGAGTAATGGCCCTATCGTCGTACTTTAACGGCCTCAACGTGGATTCATTGTCGATACCAGAATCGCGCTCGGAGTAACGCCAAGATTTCATCGAACCACCCCCCGAATGGTTCCTTTTCATATAAATAAAGCCGCAGGCGATGCAGACCACCACGGGTATTAAAACGGCGAAAATAATGCCCATTACGGTCCACGCCGTACGCTGTACGTACTCGATGTGACCTATATTTATATTGCAACAAGGATATATCAATCGTACGGCACGAGAATGGAGGAAATTGATTTGTGAAAATTAACATCGAGGAGGAAGTGGGAAAGGAGATCACGGTGAGAAATATCAGAGAGATAAAGGCAGACGAGGAGAAAATCGTTTAACGCGGTTGTTTGTTAGCAATTTTATAAACTTTCAGCGGAAGCAGACTCTTGTTGATTAATTACTCAACTATACAAGATCAGACTCGATTTAACTTTTAAAATGAATTGATGGAATTTGAGTCTCGCCTCCGGTCTACGCGATAAATGCGCTACCGTTAAATATTTTCTCTACGTTATACCTTATTGCATTCCTTATTCTCTTACCCCTCGTTTAAGATCGTTAAGCAGGTGAGATTGCAGTGAGAAACTGATGCGTTAAATAATGAGGCGTTGAGAAATACTTACGGAGGCATTCCGTGTATCCGTATTCCGGAGTGTTCCACAGCCCTTCCGGTGTGCACACCCGCCGTTGATCCCCAATTAATATGAAATCCTGGTTGCACTCGAAGCTCACCTTCGTCCCCGGGACAAATAGGAAATTGCTCTTACGTCCGAACCGTGGTGTTTCCAGTATACCGCAGGATACAACTTGAAAATTGAAGAATATATATGCATTATAAATTATATGATAAACGTACGGTTAGCAAAAAAAATCTCAATATGTTTAAATGGTTAAGTTTTAGAAATTGTAACACTCGAAAATTTTATCGCGAGCTTACTTACTTTCTTTTTTGTTCAACGCTCGAATTTGGGTGTAGGTATCGTAGTAATTTCGGGTAAAATGCGCTAAATCTCGATTCAATGTCATAACGTAATCGTATTGACATTGATACGAATCGCCGCACAGATCTATCGCGCGGTTTATGTCGTACGACCTATTCGATGGGAGTATCTCTGACGGATATTTTCGATATTCCGGCTCGAACGTGCGATTAGCATAATAGCTCGCCGTTCTACCGAACTCCCGATGGAATAAGGCCGCCCCCAACAGTTTGTTCTCCTTATCTTCTAACATCCAATGTAGCGCGAAGTCTTTGTGAATAGTCTCTGAATGATTCACACTAGTGATTGGGACTTGATATCCCGCCGGGCTCGTCATATCGTCTGTGGGATCGAAATTCCAAATACCGAAGAGACCCTTGGTTTTGTTCTACAAATGAAAAAGTAATATCTAACATTTCTCGAACATTTCCTGCAGCATTTAACAAATGTAGATTTAGAATGAACTTGGTATATTTTATGTAAATTTCGCGTATACATTTATATATTAGTTTCAATTTTCGCACGTAATGTTATGTAGACAGAAACGTTTCTTTTCTTACCAGATACGTCCACGGCAGATACGTTCGAGCGGTTAAGAACCCCTCGTTCTCCACGATTTCTACGCCAGCACCGGTGTCGAGCATAACAATGACCTCGCTCTGATTTAAAATATACGTGGGGGTGTAAACGACGACTCCGGGGAAGTGTTGGAATTTTAAGGATTGTCTGTCGAAGTATATTCTTTGGCCATCCGCGAAGACGTCGAGCCGATATCGCCACTGCGCGTATCTTGGTCTCAAACGAACTTCAATGGTAGCGGAATTATTACCCCTCACTGCGAAACATATAACGCATCGATTATGATCGCGTTATTATTAATAAAACAACGATATTAATGTTAGACTGAAGGTCAATCTTGTAAGTGCAACTTAAGTCTAGAATAGTTAAGATATTCAGTTATGTAGAACGAAAAGAAAGAAGCTTCACCTGCTACTGAAGTAAGATGCGTCGCCATCACTGGACCGTGGATGTTGGGTGGCATTTGCTCGAATCTACCTTGCACGTCGAGTTTGTCCCTGATATCATCCACTCGTACCAGAACAAACTCGCCCTTGCCGTTGAAGGTGTACTCCACGCCGTCGAACGTGACGAAGTGAGGATCGCCAAATACCGCTGCCACTCCGGGCGATTGATAGGCGATGCAATCCTGCGACGGTCTTCTTTCGAATCGGAACGTCTCGCAACCGACGGCCTGCTCTTCCTGCCAGAGACAACACGCGTACATAGGCACCACGTCGTGCCACCAATGCGAGAGAGTCGGGACTTTGTTAGCCTCGTTCCACGGAAAGAAGCCCAAATTGTGAGATCGATGCGGTCGCGATCCCCATTGCTGGTCGTAAGACAGCATCAGGAAACCGTTTCTGTCGTAACAGCACTGTTGCTCCGAACCGTCCAGGCTAAATTAAGCGAAAATAAGCGGTGTACTAAAGATTTGGGCATTAAATTGTTGTAGGCAGCGTTTTATTGCAATTTACGAATAAATGATCCATCCGAGAAATTAATATCAGTTGCCGTATATATGTGTAAGAACACGTAATGTGCGTGTGTAAGAAATAAGATAAAACTGTCCCTCCAAAACGGAATATTACTTACTTGGGCGCACCCGTCCTCACGCAGTGAGACGCATGCTGATTGTAATAGCAATCTATATTCGAGTCCTTGTCGCAGTTGTAATCCGGAAGGAAGCGACCTTTGTCGTACAAAGCATGATCCAGGATGCAAGGGCAAAGCGCCACTTCGGCGGCGAAGTTTTTGAGATACCGGTCATGCATAATCCACTTGTCGCAGATTTTATGAGACCACTTCGACCCGTATAGCCGTTCCCATTGAGGAGCGAAGTACCAACCGAGCGGAATCGGTCTGCTCCACAGGCTCCTACATAAGATTAAAATCGTTGAAAACGCGATCTCACCAACAAGTCACCAGATTTAAATAAATGTTTCATCTTGCGGAACTTACGGTGTTATCGACAGTCCGGAATACAAGTGCGGTTCGGTCAAATTTATTTGAATGAAGCCAAACACCATGTCCGTGTGATATGGATTGTACGCGTCCCGGTATTTGGCTGGTTTAATGACGTAATTACCAACATTGGTATGCGATTTCTGAAATGTGTATAACAATTTAATTGACCGCTATTCCATCTTTCTACCGGTTTCGAATTGTCTCGTACGAACCTCCAACACCGTTATGAATTCAAACTCAGGTCTCGTCTTGGTCTCCCTATACCCCCATAGAGATATCTGGATCCCCGCTCCTATGTTGGTAGTTAAATTATACGAGTTCCATGTGATTTTTATTTCCGCGGGGTCTCTCAAATGAACAGCCTCTTTATCGGTAAAGAAAATCCTCTCCGTCGCCGTCGCTGGGGTTTCTACGAGCGAAGGTTTCACGCAATTTTATTTCGAATAATAGAAACATTGTCGCTTCGCTCTGTCACGCATGATTAATATCGCGAAGAAACGCGTGTCTCATTTTTATTAAATAAAAATAAAGTAAGAGAGATTTTACCGACAAAATATTTTCCTTTCCAGTCGTAAGTGCCACTATCGATGGCGATGTAGAAACGTACGTAGCCCTCGTACTTCAAGAATGGCTGTACGCAAATCGCGCGATTTCTGTCTACTACCGTACCCATCACTACCTCATTCTCGAAACGGCACTTGATCTTTTGACTCTCGTTGAAGCACGGTCCGGTGATGTTGACGACGGTGCCTCCTAACATGTTGCCGGACTCCGGAGCGAAAACCAACGGCAGATGAGCTCCAGCTGTGTGCATCATCGCGTAGTGAGAATCGTCATTCTTTAACCAATAATGATTAAAAACGGTGCTCGCTTACCAATGTCTTTATTACAGGTGCCCAGCATTATTTTTTCGTCTATCCTGAAAATGTGCCGTCCTGGGAAACCGTTCGCCCACCCTCTGCTCGTTAAGTCGCGGATCGTGGTCGCCTGAGAGTAAGGCTTATACTCGTAGCTCTGAGTACCGTTTCCAGCATTAAATCCCACCTACGGTAATGAGTTTCCCAAGTAAATTTATGTTTTGTCAGATGGACTTTTATCCTCTCAGAATAGTCCTCATTCTGTTCTGCTAGAGCACCGTTTCTCAGCCGATTGATTTTCCGCCGCGGCACTTTGTGCCGTAAAAAAAATCCCCAAATCCATGTGTCGCGAAAATTTTTAAAAATATAAAAAAAAAGCGAAAAAGTTTAGAAATAAATGAAAAAGCAAGTAAGGTGTGAAAAATAGAAGTATTTTTAAAAATTTATTGTGAATATTACGCTGTCTTTATTTTTATTTTAACCAAGCCGATATCGTTATTGCAATAAAATCACTTTTAAAACAATAAAATAAAAAACTTTAAAATTTTACTGTTTATTTCTGAATATCATATTAGCGATATTTAATAAAAGATCTATGCTGAGCACTGAAGCGTGTGCTATTCTATGATGATGTATTTGACTTTAACTCGATATTTAATATGCCCGCGCGAATTGAAAAACACTAAAGTATCTTGCAGTTCGCGCACAACGTAAAATTAAACGAAATAAAGCGTCATGTAAAATTTATGCTAATTTTGCGATTGCTTACATATGCAGGAACTCCATTCTCGCCTTGCGTTGTATCACCACCAGCTTCGGTATGACTCGTCCATCGTAAATTTAAGTAATTGAAAATAGCGTAAGTGAAGACCTCGTCGGTAGCCAAAACCAGTTGGAACGTGTTAGTTGTGTGAAGAGACAGATCGATACCGCCCGTGAAAGACATATTCTTCCACGTTGCGATAAGAGCGTGCTTGGGTATGAATGAATCAGCGCCAACGATACCCTGGCGGATGTCCCACATGACACGCTCTCGCATCTCCACGCCGAACTGATCGGTTCTCCCTTGCAAATCCCTCTCGAGCCTGAAGAGCACGAGTCATTTTTTTCGTAAATCTCTTCCGCTTTCAAAGATCTACGTACGTAAGATAGCAAAGGCCATCACACGTACAAAAATTTTAGTCGTAATCATAAGACCGTAAAATCTGGTTTCACAATTCGCGATTAATTTGATTTAACCCAGGCAGAAATGATCGGTCCATAGACGTCGATTGGACATTTATGAACCAATCATGTTTGCCTGGAAACCGAAATTCCATTCGCTTTATCTTTTTCTAATCTAAGAATTAGAAAGAGATAAACAGTTAGTTAAATCGAGATTAAAATTAATCTTACATTTGTGGAACCGGGCCTAAGTAAATTGATCAATCACGATCAAAATTGCGGTCTTAAAACGTTAATTTTAGAATGTTCAACCGTGATTGGTCAATTTGCATACGACTTTACGATTAAAATTTTTGTACGTGTGATGGCCTTAAAAGTGTCCTCAGAATGGAGCGCTAATTTTTAACATCATATATGCGTACCTGAAGTACACCCCCGGTTTTCTACGATCGATATCATTTTCCCTTCGCAATCCAATGCGACATTTACTGAAGAAAATGCCGATGAAGGCTGGGTCATTCTTTTTAGGCCAGTCTTTAATCGGGAAGACAAGAGGGTACGTAAGGTGCTCCGGCGGATCGCTAAACTCCAAGTACCCATTAACAGTTAACTAAAACGTTACGTAACATTTAATTGTATTCAGCAACGAACGAATTTGTATTTATTGCAAGACTCTTTCTGACGAAACATTCGGATAACCCACAGTCAGGGTATTCGAATAATGAATCCAGATTTTTTAATTACTAAAAGTAAATATTGATATACTATTAAAAATAACAAAAGTGATCGTACTCTCGTGTAGTTAAATCTAAAGCCGAAGAAAGGCAATTGAAAGTTCAAGTTCTTATGGATCTGCAAATTTGTCGCCTGCAAAGCCGACTGGTAATCGCCCTTATCATCGCTGCCACCTTTGTCGAAATACCAATACATGAACTTAGATCGAATCTCTTTCAATCTGTCGTCTGTTATTTTATAAAAAGGTGGATTGTCATCCGGGCGAGGCGCGTACCTATCAGCTTCAGGTAAGTTCGAATCTGTAAATGTGTACCGAAAAAGATGTTCGATCAAATCAACGCTATTTAAAAAAAATGATTAAAATAAATAATATTGCACAATTAAATGTTTTATATTATTTCTATTCAAAGAATAGCTTTAATCGTATTTACGTAATAAACGTGCAATTTCTGATTACTGATAATTACGATATTAAGAATAAATGTAAAATGATGCGTTTGATTAAAATCAATCTTCAAAATTAATCATTAGTTCCATGAGTTGATGATCTATCAAAATGGCTTGTCTCATCCAATGAATCATCCCCGATTCATGTTAAAGTGAGTAACTGATAAACACACCGTGTGATAAGCGGCGATACGGATTGTCTTCTATATCGTGCGCGAGGTGAAAAATACGAGGTGGGAACTTGAGAATAACGTTAGACTTTCGCGTGTCGAATTGAATTATTTTAAATTGCCGTTTCGAGTATTTCAGAGAAAACGCAATCGTCTCGAAAAGGGAAACCGACGGAGAATGGATTCCGTAACTATTCTTGTTCAATACCACTCATTACGAAACGGTGGTCACGCCCACTGATAACGGATTACTTACCGTATCTCACGTATTTCCCATTCTTTTCGTTCGCCATTCTGCCGGAAGCTTTTTGAACGGTGGGCAAATCCGCCCCGGTCTCGTCCGGTTTCGCTACGAAAGCATTTTCGACCTCCGGCAAAATTTGCACCGGACTTTCCACGTCGTCTTTCTTCTCGACGGGGGCTAAATCTTCGTTCTCCTCCACCTCGAGATCCTCGACCTCGGAGGGAGCCTCCTTCGTTTGCGGCGGCAAAACGACGTTCCCCACCGTACTTTCGTTCTCATTGGACTCTGGTAAATTCAATCCGAATGCACTCTCGAACGTCTCGCTTTCGTTCTGCGCGATAATCCCACGCGGTGTTGTTAACGAGAGAAGACAGACTAGGAGGAGGATCCATTTCAACAATGCGAAAATGCAATCGAGCTCTTTCCACGACGCTCGAGGTCGCATTTTCGTCGGAGCGGCGCGATGTACCGACTAATTACTTTAATACGCACAACGAGACTGAACTCGGATTCAAGTAACGGGTATCGCGATAACAGGTACACTGATATCATCGGCTCTAGTATGATAACATTTATCTCTTTACTACAGGTGGGTGCGTAGAACGAACGGGAAAGTAAAGATACGTATACTTGGTACGTTCTACTTACAAAAAGGGCGTTTCCGCTCACGAAAAAAAAAAGTATCTCGTCGTTAGAACGATTGAGCTGTTTACGACTTGCCGTCGTAAATACATAAAAATTCGTCGTTTTTTTTTTAGAGGCAAATTATTTATTCGACTTTTGCAACTGTCATATTTACAAAGCAGATACTTTTAGTACGATTAGCTCGAAAATGTACCAAAATTCTTTTTTTTTTCCTCTCTTGCATTTTCTTGCGGGCGACAAGTTTTACAATAAAACACGTGCAGTATATATAGCAAATATTATATGAAGGCTACTTTATCTTTAAAAGTCGTATTACTAATACTTTTTTTTTACACGAACGCATCACTTACGGTATCCGTTATATGTATAATAAAAATGTATGATGCTCTTATATCAATATTTCATATGGTTCAATCTAAAAAAAAACAAAAAAAAAAAAACAAAACCTGGACAGCCTAAAAACGGTATATGTTACTTCTCTCCATTGCATTAAAAAAAAATGTATATACGAATTTTTCGCGTTTAAAATGTATCGCGTTACAAATGCATCATAGAATAAATATACATATCAACAGTAATAGATACGTCTGCGTATAGTGTAGCATGTACAAGGTGCATCGGTAATGTTCGACGAGTTCGCATTCAACAAGCAAATCTATTTTTTTTATACAATAAAAGAGAAAAACACATTTTTATTATACGATTAATCGTATTAATTGTATAATACAATAATTAAATGTATACCTGCTTCTAATGCTTGTAACAAACTGGAAGAATCGGTTATTGGCGGTATCCTATGAAGTATTCTTGTAAATGCCGAACGCACCGAACACTACCAATACATTCAGTTGTAATCATGTTTGGTTTGGCTATGTTAAGCAATTTTCTCGTTTTCTTTATGCATCATTCGAGTAGTTAGATATGTATAGACTGCAAGGATCTTAAAAGTAGGGGAAATTATGGAATTTTTGTACTGCGACGGCATCTTATATATCAATATTGTCCAAATGTTCACAAAAGAATTATATTACACTTTTTTTTTCATGTTGTTCGGTGTTGTAAATCTTTTCGACTGATGGTACGTATCACAGAAGAAATCTACAAGAGTCACAGAAAGAATTCAAAAGAATTAAAAAAAAAAAGGAGAGAGAGATCTTAAAGAGACACGTCTAAATTGTCCTTCGTGTGGAACCTACAGCAATAATGTCAATATAACATTGCGGATATGAACCATACACTTCATCATTAAGTGAAAAGACTTTTCCATAATATTTTATTTGTAATGAAATAATCTCTCTGTTACGGTTGATTCTTTCTTTAACATTACGACGTCGAGGCATTATCTCCATTACTGTCCATATATCCACCGGATCCATTCATGACAAATGACGTTCCCAGACCGTACAGGTGTCCACAATACTTCGCGTCATCAATATTATCTTCGAAAAACATCTGGAACAAAAATCAAAAGCAAAACAAATTAGAACTCTGTGTATAAATGTAGACCCCTATTCAGAACGTGTTAATGACGATGTTAGAACACGTAATACGTTTACGTTACGTATACTATAAAATTTCAGAGATAAAAGTGCGTATTTATGCGAACGCGAAAAGCACGTTCTGAATACAGACCGTAATATATGTATATTACTATCCTAATTGATTATTGGATAAATTATTTACATCTTGTTAAATTACTTACTTCTCGCATTTTAAAAAAGACCATTCCAGTAAGAAGGGAATCAGATCCGGCTTGATGCTGAGGACCTACTCTTTGAATTTCCAGCTGTTCTGCCACTTCTTGTAAACCACCTTTCAGGTTCTTGCACGATTTCATTAAGTACTGCGTGATTTAAAAATAAAATGTATTTTTTATATTTCATATATTTTTACTTTTCTTTGTAAAAAAAAAAAATAACTCACTTTTACATCATATATCGTCGGAAAGTATATCCTAAGAAGCTCGAAAAATTCACTTTCCTCCTGTGGCAATTTTTGATCCGTCAGGAGTTTCAATAAGTAACCGAAGTCATAGCCAGAATGAAAGGACAGCCATTTTATGTCGTCGACAAGAACAATTCCCGATGTCATTAATAGCTCAGCGAACTCTAAAGGATCGATACCCTCCTCTTCGTGTTTCTTGAACTGTATACCACTATTTTGTAGCATATCTATACTATCCTGTGCATACATGTCTTCACTAGCAACAACAAAAAATGTACACATCTTATTACCAGAGTTATAAAAAAAAAAGTTAAAAAAACTTTAAATGTAATTATCTTAAGACTAAAGGCCCTGGCACAGACTTTTGCATAACGCTGGATAACGCATAAGACATAAAGCATAAGAAAATCAACCAATCAGAGTCTTTTATTCCATACTCTGATTGGTTGATTTTCTTATGCAGCCTTACGCCTTATGCAGCGTTATGCAAAAGTCTGTGCCAGGGTCTTAAGAGTTAAATATCAGTAACGTGGACTTACTGTAAGTTGAATTTAAAATTAAATTGCCATGTTGTATAGCTACCGCCCGGCGTATTCCCCGACTCGTCAAGGAATGTGAGACCAAGTTGAATTATTCGCAGAAGATCTACATTGCAACGTAAGAGCTGGTACTGATAGTCGGCGTTAGTTCTGAATTCTCCTGTTCCAGAAATAAAAAAAAAATATTTGCAATTAGCACACGTTCCCGGAAGTGACATATCGCGAGACTCTCATGGAATTTCTACAAAAGTGTGTGCCATTCTTACCAATAGGCCTAGCTACAACGCCCGGAAATTCTGTATCCATTGCGATATACTGATACTGTTGTACAACTTGACGAATTGTACGAAACTCCTCTTCTAGATTGTGTCCCCATACATCTCTGATTCCACATTCTTCATTACTGGGCATATTCCCCCCTCCCTTCTGCTGCCCTATTTGGTTGGTCCCGCCTAAAAGTTTTTCACACAATCAAACATTAAACAATAGCTATGGAAACAGTACAAATATTCAATGCTACTCCTTTTATTATTTGATTAACTTATATAAAACGTCAGCTTAATATTTGACAAAAAATATATGAAATGTAAACATTTAATTTTACAGAGTGTTATCATAATTTGAGTGCCAGGAACATGAAAGTGAGATTTCTTAAATAAATAATCTCTTCGAAAGTTCGTAGAATTAAATATTCATACACAATCTATACAAAATTATAAATGCATATCCCCAAAAACGACTTCTTTATTCGTAATACAATTACATTGGTTTTCAATCAATTGTTTAATGGCAACTTTTCAAAACGCTAAATTGGTTTTTTTGAACTGCAGCCTCTCCGACGGATATGCATTCCTCACGAATTTTGCAAGAAGGCACATCTTCTCTGACGCTGACAATACGAATGCATGTTTTTCAATAGCTTTCACTTGTACTAACACATTGTCACACGAGACCTCTCCTTTATCGCATCTATATTTTCATCCACTTGGAACTCGCCTTTTATTTACTTTGCTTCCATATCCCTGTAATGCGTATATATATGTCCTTCATTTATCAAGTGGATACATATAATGCAGAATTCACTTTCAATGCTCCTGCTCTCAGTATACGTAACTCAATCTACATGTGTGTCGTTACCGCAAACAGATGTACAATTACTATCATATGTACGATTACTAAGTTCCTGTACGTCGCAAGTAGAGAAATCGAACGTGTTTCGTGCGAGTCTTACACACCGGTAGCTGAAGGCATGTTTCTGCATTCACCGGGGCTACTTTAAGTCTTCAGATTCCCTCTCTGTCACGGCCTTTCCTTCTTCATATCACTGGAAATTTGCGAATAATCGGTGAAACAAGCTGGCTTATGCGACGCCTGCAAGCTGTTAGTGACCAAGAGAGACTTGGAATGTCGTCCGCATCGTACGGGGGCTACGTATCGTCGGAAAATAACAGCCTAGCACTTGGACCCTCAGTCACTGTCGCAGGCAGGCAGGTTATGGGTCGCGGGTAAACAAACAACAGTTCATCACAGTGGACAGTCGCGTGAGAGTAAGACACGGATGGGCGCGAGGACGCGGATGCGGGAGCACCGCGGGCGAACGACGCGGGACAGCGGAATCCGTTGTTTGTCAAACAACTTTTACTGTCGGGGGAGTCGATGGGGGGTTATGTGTCTTCCCCCTCGAGACCAAGCCAGGGATCACCGTCGTTCACGAAGTACACGGGCGGCGACCGCGCGGCGGTCCGTACCTTGCAAATATGATATCCCTGATCAGCAATGTCCGAGCGTGAAACGATTTTTATCGAGGATGCACCCACAATCCCGCTGTGTGTCAAATCATGAACGGTTTAAACGGACTTCCTCACAGCTCGTGAGCTCGGCTCGGTACGCGCGACACGAGATGCGGGCGCTGCGGTCGCTAAAGTATCTCTCACCGTCGACGACTGGAGAGGACATGACGGCCTTTTGGCTGTAACCTGTAACGCTAAAATGTCCTTGCGCACTATCGCCCTCTGAAGAAGTGGATCCAAATTACATAGCAAATTGGACTTTTCTGCTCGGGTAATACAATTTGTGGTGCGTGTCCGTGCTAGATCCACTTCTCGAGAATGTTGGTAAATCATTATTTGGTTCGCGTCTGTGCTAGATCCACTTTTCGAGACAGTGTCTGGGGCTTTATTCTCGAAAAATTGCGCAGTCAAAAATCTTCCCACGAATGTCCTCTCTCAGATTACGAATATTTCCGGCAAATAACACAATCTTCGATTTTTTGTTCTATGTCATGTATATTGTTTGGTTATATTATATACTATATAGTATATAACTTATAAGTTATATGTATAAAATATAACTGTGTAATTATAATAATAATAATAAAGTTGTCTTAAATATTTCTTGATGGAAGCTTAAAAGTATAAATCTTTTCAAATACAATTTTATACGATCTGGCATTTCTTTTTAATTTATTATATATATTATATTGTATTATATTATATATTATATATTGTATTATATTATATATTATATATTGTATTATATTATATTGTATATTATATTATATATTATTTAACTTAGAATTTTCTCATACAAACAAATAACAAAATATTTTCAATTTAAGAATTCAAAATTTAATAAACTAGCACTACAAACGCGCGCACTATTTAACACTTCTTTAGTATCAAATCTAGCGCCTCCCATGAGTTTTCTTCGAAACGGCAGCGGTGAAAAAATCGGGATAGGCGCGATTAATTAGTTACTAAACAGAAGTTAATTTTTATGAACGTCCCAGCAGATCGTGCTGAAGAGTCTGCGAGAATTTTAGTATCAAAGCTAGCGCATCCCATGAGTTTTTTTCGAAACGGGTGCGGTGAAAAAATCAGGATAGGCGCTATTAATTAGTTACTAAACAGAAGTTAATTTTTATGCACGTCCCATCAAATTGTGCTGAAGAGTCTGCGAGAATTTTAGTATCAAAGCTAGCGCATCCCTAATATTTTTTTGAAACGGCTGCAGAAATTTGAATGCGTAATTTTTCGAGAATAAAGCCCCATAGCAATCTCGAAAGGTGAATGTAGCACGGACGCGCACCACAAATTGTATACCCGCAGTGCAGAAAAGTGAATGTTGCTATGTAGTTTATACCACTTCTTCAGGGGGCATAGTGTACGAGGGCATTTTGAAGTAACATGCAAAAGGTCGTTATGTCCTCTCTCAGGAACCTCAGGGTTCTCTCTGCCGGAGAGCATGTCTGTGCACTAATGCCCTCCCGGCGAATATTGCATTATCGTAAGAAACTGTAAGCCAGAAAGCAGGCACGGATGGTAATAACAAGGAAAAATTGCAATTGCACAACGAATGAAATGAAAAATAATATCGTCGATATGCAACATAATAATTAATTTTGTATTTGATAAATAAATATAAATCACGCTGTCATCAATAAAAGATGATGATAATAACGAATCGCGCTTATGATAATAAAATGCTGTTTTAAAATATACGTGCGTGTTAATTATACATTACATATATAGGTACATTACATTACATTGACATGCACTTTGTAATTTTAAGTAAAATTGAATATTGTGCTTGTTTGCACATTTATGGTTTATTTCATCTTATTTCTATTATGTTCTAATACCTGGTCGAGTTTTTAAGAGAATTTAGGTTTTTACGATTCAAAAATTTCGAACATAAAATTCTAGAACTTCTGGAAAATTTTTAGAAATTAAATAATGCAACATTTTTCCCCGATTATATTCTCCTGATATTTTATTATATCTTTAGAAATTCTTGATTTGAAATTTACGAATTTTCAGAATTGCAATTTATATACATTTTTTAATAAATACATATTAAATTTTATTCTCAAAATTATGCAATATTGAATAATTATTGACATTTAATGTTATTTAATTATTGATCAATTTTATTAAGCAATTTCTGACTCCTCTTTTCATTTCTATATGTACAAAATGTATACGTGTATTATTACATAAATTAAACTGCTGACTGAAGTTAATTAATATATTTAAAAGTGATCCTAAATAAAATATTTCGACGTCATAAATTAAAACAAAAAATTATTTTAAAAACACGTCATGTTACAGATACTTTTCTGATATACATAATATAGTTCCATAAGATATCTTCGATATTTTAAGACATTTCTTCAATTATTCAAGCATTATTCTCGAACATATCCTTCGAACAAAAATATATATTTTTCCAGATACATTTTCTTAGGGACAATTTAAATATTTATTTAATCGTACAGTAGAGAGAAAGTAGGTGAAAGAAAGGAAAAGATCACTTTTTATTAAAATTGTTCAGTACTTGTAAAGATATACGTATTTGTAATTTAATGTATTATAAAATATTTTTAGTATAAGATATAATATTTGCAAACAATTCAATCGTCTTACATAATTCTATTATATAAATACATATCTTGCATGATAAATTGCTGTCATCTTTAATTATAATTTTTTTTTACGTATTCAATATCGCACTGCATAACGCAATTTTTTCCTACTGGAGAAATTGCGAAAATATGGAAGTATAAGTTTTACAATTATTAAAAAAATAAAAATTTTTACACAGTTTTCATCTTCTTTTTAACGCAAATTACTTAATCAGATTATATGCAAAATATTTCTATCTCTTAGCTACTACACTCTGGAAAATGATATAATATTTTAGAATCTATTTTAAAATTATAAATTTATATATATATATATATATTTATAAGCACGTACGTATTACAATTTTATAATGAAGAATAGACTATATGTACATATTACAATTTTATTACGGATAATTCATAATTATCCGTAATAAAATTGTGTTATAATATGCAAAACATAATGGATCCTATCCTACAAATTAATATATAATTTTTTCCGTTATATTCTTCATAACTTCTTATACATTATGCTGGATGTTTTTCTCGCGATAAAATTGCTCAACGATATATGTAGCAAGTTGTCCCTACCACATAACTTAGAGCAACTTCCTCTATAGTATCTATCTATCTCGTTCATGCAGGAAGTTATTCTAAGTTATGCAGATCACAAAGTGATCGTCTTTGCCGCTGTAAATTGAAAGGGCCGGAAGCGATCAGGCGTACACTGATGGAAGTTAATATCTTTCTATCAAAAGAAGTAATGATAGCCATCGATTGTGACGTGATTTCACGACAACAAAGTGGAATACAGTAACATTTAATATTTAATATTGTTTTTAATTCGGAATTACTTTCTCCGTTTCATCCCTCATACCTTTTAAATTCTAATCCATGTATCTTAATAATGAAACAAAGTATCGAAATATGCCAAATATGTATTTAAGTACAGAAATAATAACAAAATAGGCAAAAGTCACGACATACTTACAACAGATCTGGTAATAATAATATGGTAAAACCATATCATAAACCGTATAATAAAAAGCTAATATATTTAATACTAAAAATTATGATATTTTTGAAATCGTGAAATCGATTTTGTTTTTCACATTCATGTTTTTAATATTACAGGAAAGGACAGGGAAGTAGAGAGAAAAAGGAAAGAAGTAAAAAATTATAAGCATCAGTTCTCTTATTTGCATATATTCACCTATTATACATTTAATTACATTACGTAACAAAGTTACTGTAACTTCTATTACTATAAAAGTAAAGCGTATAATAAGTTTTTATTAAATCTTCACAGAATCCCTTGCCCAGCATTTTTTATCCATCATCATACATTTACACATGTCTCCTCACACTGGGCCATGCTCTTGAAATTATTTGCGTTCTCATCACAGCCAGTGTATATGAATCGTTCGCATTTTCCAGAAGCCGAATTATAAGCGTATCTCGTTATGTATGCTCTGCAAGAACCCTTTTCTATAGGCAACAGGCAATCTGTAACAAACACGCGAAGCTGCGTTAAATTATGCACAGCGAAATCTTTTTGTTTTTTCTCTCTCTCTCTCTCTCATCGTAATGTACAAAGTTGAATTTAATAACTTCAATTTTTTACATTTATATAATTTAAGTCTACGTAGATATACATTTTAATAAAATTCGAATTTCAATTAGAACATCGTAATAATTACTGCAATAAAACAAATGTTACGTTAAAAAAAACAATGCTTACTTGATGATCTGTCAGCTACGGTCTCGTGCGTTAATATGACGATAACAAACACAAGAAACAAACGTAATTTAAGATCCATCTTCGCGTGCGTACAATATTTTTATTTCCACGGCACTTCGCGTTCCCGAATTAATTTTTTTCCGGAAATCTCGTTGCGATCAGCGTTAATCCGAAAAGTCACACGTTCCATCTAGATATCGCTCCTTTATATAAATCGTGCGATGTACGCGAGAGAGGGGATTATCTTTACCATGAATAAGTTATAAAGTCTAATCTTATTTGTGTAACAAGTTTTTTCACATAGATAGCGTTAATGCATCTGTGTGAAATTTACGATATTTTTATGTCGCGAGTATAGTCAGCATCGTTTATCACTTTCTGTATATTGTAAGAATAACAGCTTCGATAACAGAAGTGTAAGTTTTCAACGTGACACGAGATAAACATGCCCCAGCAGTAACCGCAGCACATGGAAAAAAGCATCAAATCGCTGCAATTTGAAGTATTTGCACATGCCGATCTTATTCAAATTGACACAATGACTCGTTTCCGTCGTAGTCAAACGCAGCCGAATTGTCCAGTAATTTGCGTATTACAGCTGTAGATATACGTGCATATATCCCGATGGCTTTTACACTCCGCACCTTGACAAGAGAAATCGTGTTTTCCATTTTCTTTTTTTGTAAGGCCCGTATTTATAGTCGCATTTGTGTCGAGGAACGCAGGTTAAAACCAGTTTTAAGACGCGATACGATTCAACAGATAGACACGGTTCAACAGGCAGAGTCAATTCGATATTTCTGACATGATCGTCACGTTTATAATCGATTCGAGTGAGAAACAAATCAGATGATGTTTGCCTTCAGATACAATCTGAGTTCTCGCAGTTCAATAAGCGAAATTAAAAGTTTATGCATCAGTTTTGTATCAGTTAGAAAAATTATGTAATATTCAAACGTAATCCGAGCTGGAAAATAACTTGCGTTTAAACATTCTAAATGTTATCTCACTTTAAATATTCTGATTTATAATACGTTATAGATACTTCCGAATAAAAATCGACATTTATTTACGAGATGTTATTTGTGATCGATTCTAAATAGATTTCTTTATGTTCTAAAAGTGCATCAGTGAAATTATCATTGATTTTCAGTGTATATCATTTTCCAGTGGCACTTAAACTGTGATAAACAGCACATATTTCAATGTTCTTTTAGTGATAATGTATACTGATTCGAACAGCGAATATCACTAAAAGACAGTGAGTTTCACTGTCAAACAGTTTTGACAACTAAAATTTACTGTCTTTCAGAGATATGCACTGTTTGAATCAGTATATTATCACTGAAAAAAAAACATTGAAATACTCACTGATTATCATTGTTCTAAGTATACCACTGAAAAATAATATACACTGCAAATCAGTGGTAATTCCACTGATTCACTTTTAGAGAATATATCCCAAATTTCGTCAATTTTTCTGTATTATTGTATTAATCACGTCCGAATGGACATCGAAATCTCTTACAAGACGGCGTGCGAACGATGGACGGGCCTGTTCTTATCCCGCTTTCTCGGATTTAAGTGTCAAGCCGTAAAATCCGTGTGACAGGTTCATTTCGCGGGGCGGCATCGATTAAATGCGCCGGTTATCGGGAGGTTTACGAAATTAGTTTGCCGCAAACTCCGAGGCGGGTGTCAGGTAGCTCATCGGTAACTTCCGCCGCTTCGGCTACACGTAGCAGTTTCTCCCTTCGCTCCCGCTTTTACGGGAGAAGGGCGCGATATTATGGCGTATATTATCCTATCGCGCGCGAAACCGCATCATTCCCGTGGTATTAACCATTCACGTATACGAGTTTCTTCGCGACTGGCTGGGTTACACGGCGCGTGTCTTATAGAGGCGGAAATGCTGATGCGGTACTGCAGCAGTTCGCTCTCGCGATCGCTCGAAAAGTTTTGTGCTGCGTCCTCGCTTTTACTAATTCTTCGCAGCCCTGCAGCTTTAATTCGGTAAGTCCGCGGTACTCTAATAAAAGTATCGCAAATGTTTAATTTATTTGTTATAATAATTACGTCAGGTATTTAGGGAATTACGTTGAGAAATCGCCGGGTATGCATCTAGTCCAAAATCCGCCTTCGACCGTTCAATACAGATTGATCCGAGCGATCCATCTCTCCGCCGGGAGAACGGTGATTTACATATAACAAGGCACCGCCAATGATTGCCCGTGGAATACATTAACCCGCGCGCACTCGGCGTGTCGGCAGCCGGCTATCCGCACGAGGTATTCTTAAACGCTCCTTAAACGCGTGCTAGAAGTAACGCGTGAATTATGTAAGAACAGCGATGGGAAAGTACGGGGGAATCCGCGGCCAATAAGTGCTCGCGATAAATTCGAGGAATATTTCGCGTGCCGCGGTATCTTCTTTCTTCCCTTCGCGTGCCGGTTGGAATTTATCGAGCGGCAGGACGGTCGTTCCCTGAGATATTGCATCGATATCGCCGGAAACGCCAGTTTCTAATGGCTTTACGCGATATTAAAGTGCAAAATAAACGAATCGTGTCTTCTTCACGGAGCTATTAAACCTGCGTGTTTGAACGAGGATTCGTATCATGGGAATAGAGTCGTCAATAAATCGACATTAACTTTGTGTTGCTCGCGCGTGGAGTGTAAAATACACCCTTTAAAAATCTAATAATAAATTTACAGAATGAAACTTTTTTTTTATCAGCTCGAACGCTGCGTAAATTGTTTCGCAATGAAAAAAGAATCTTTGCACTTATGTACCTTTATCTAAAAAATACGTGGAATATTATCAATCATTTTTATTCAATTGTAAATCATCAAAGAGAACAATGAAAATGAAAACGTAATATTGGGGTGTAAAATATATTTCCACGCGAGTAATTATGTTTGAAAAAAAATCACGCGAATAAAGCGCGGTTGAACATTCGCAGATACATTTTTTATTTCATTTTATTTTAATCTCTCACATATGTTATCCGAAATACGGGATATCCAGCTAATTGTCGTACTTGCAACGGCTTTTAATTGTTCCACTCTGTATTCCCTCGGACCTGCATGAAACGTATATAGCGGAACACCGAGCCCCGAGCCATCGAGCGCACACACATGGAGCGAGATAGTATTCGCGATCTTCCAACGAGAGCCAACAAGCCGCGCCATTTTTCCGCCTACATACGGAGAGCTCCCCGTCTCTATCTTCCGCCTTTTTCCTACGCGAGGGCACCCTTCCTCTTTTGCAATCGGCCTCTATAAAGAGAGAGAACCCTCGGCGTATATAGCCTCCCGCGTCCCAAACCGACCCGCCGTTCTCCGGCCGTATCCGCCCGCGCCTGTACCACTTATCGATACCTAGCTCCGGGCGTTCGGCATTGCTGAACCCTAGCGCCTGTGTACGTCCGGTGTGCCCCGGCTCTCTTTGTTCGAGTCCGTTATCGTTATATAGGAACGAACGAAAAACCACCACGCGCGGCAACCTGCAATGGAACGGAGGACGGGGAGAGCCACCGGAAAGCCGCGGTGCGCGCTCCGCCCCGCTGAAAAGCGAGCAGCTCGTTCTCTTTCGCTTACGTAAGATTCGTAAGCCCCGAGGAATTCGACCGTCCGCCGATTTCTAACGCTGGCATATTAATGCCGGCTCGCGATTTGCATACAATCGGAGCACAGCTCCAATGAGCACGGAAGAGCCGACGAGTCATTACCTGCTCTCGGAACAATTAGCGGTCACGACCCCGTGCGAACGATTTGTTCGAATCCGTGAAGGTAAATCTAATACCGAATGATATTTATTTTAAAGTCACGAAATGCTTCGCACGCCTGTGGTATTATGCGTTCGTAATCCTGTATCTCTTTTCACTTGTGATAAATTTACATACGGCAGGTGGAAGGTTGTCCGTTTTTTTTTTTTTTTGTAAAATATTGAACTAAGAATGCGAAGTAATCACGATCCGGCAGGTGTATCTTTTATCGCGTATCCTTTCGCTGCACACCGTTCTCAAAGATTTTACCTCTACAGAACGGGAAGCATACTTGTAGCGGCACTGAAACAACGTCATATTTTGAAGCAAGAATGCAATGAATTATAATAAATCAAGGCTTTAGAGAAAGAATTAAAAGTAAGATTTTAAAATTAACATATGTAAGACTCTTCAATTTAAAACAACTTCAATTATAATAATTGGACACTAAGAATTAAAAAAAAACGCATTTCGAGAGACGTTTTCTTTTACTCTTAATGCCCAATTATTATAGTTAAGATTTTTAAAACAGACCCCTTCCTTCCGCCCTCTAAAGATTAATGAATCTACAATGGAGCGACGTGAATCGCCGATGATGTTTTGTCCTCGGAGATGCACGAGGCCGTGTTTGATATTAGCAACGTACGCGTGTAAGCTATAAGACATATGTGAAACGACGGAATGTCGGAAGCATTATCGTTAAAATGCGTGATCCGCATCGCGGAAACGCGCGAGTCGCGTTACGGGCCGGCGCGATGCGGCGCAAGTAACTTTGAACGAGAAACGAATGCAAACGGAATAGCGATAATGCCGCGCATCGCGATCGATACCCTCATGATTTAATGAACGTCGACGCGGTGCACCGGTAACGGGTGTTTTACGATAATATTATACAGTTCGTACCGTCGCGGTCCCACGCCGCGCCATTGTCTGGATCGGTGAAACTAGACTTCCTTACCTGGCCATTGCGACGAGCATTACTCTTGTCTAAACAATGGACGTCGTTCGGCCAGGTATTAATTGCGGATCGGCTCGCGCGCGCGGTTTAGCACCGAGAAAATATCCGGCCGGGCGTAACAATGGCGCGACGTAACTTCGGACACGAATCGTCCGATTTCGGAAGTGTATTTTTAGCCTCGCATTTACCCTCCGAACAGTTTCGCGGCAGTTTCCACCAATATTGGAGAGACGCGAGAGAACTCCCTCGGAATTGACGTATCCGCCCTTTCTCGCTCTTGAAGAGCGCACCGAAATACCGCCGTCAGTTGTATTATGCATCGCCTCGTACGTCACTATATGATATTTTAGTTCGACCGTTTACTTATAGATTGTTTAGAAAAAAAAGAGCATGGACGATAACTGCCAATACGACTACTGTATTTTTATTGAATTGACGATACTCGGTTAGTCTGACTCTTGATCCGAGCGGAAGTCACATCTCTCGGACCG